AAAATATTGTTTGTTTACGAAAAATTGCAAATGGCGCGTATTAACTTCGGCATCTTAATAGATAATAAACATACTACTACTCGCTATTAACATCGATCCTAATACTACTACTCATGTTAATATGCGTAGTATGATTGGTTGTTAATAGTTAATAAAGGATTTTTCGTATTTAGTAATAAGATATGTTAATATTTCTGTGTTAATAGGACATCTATATTAACAAAGACTTCATAAGTTTTAGCTTACGGTTTAAATATCAATTTCATAGATATTGTCAATGTTGCTTTTTTTGTGTGTAACTATTTAATCGTTTGACTCTAATAATCGCCTTTTTCTTACTGTGTCACCCGACTTCCATCAATTATCCGATAAGATATTGTATTATGAAAAATCTAATATCTGGTATTCAGGTCGTACATTTTGAACATCCATAGTATACAGAGACACATTTTCCATGTTTATTTTGTTTGAATATATTAAAATGTCTTGTACACAACAATGGGTCGATGATTTCATTCTAAATCTAGTTAACATGAAAATTGTGTCAATGCTTGTATTGAAAACTATTGTATCAACAACATTGAAGCGAATAAAGGGGAACGAGTGTCACACCTAATTCAATTTTATTTCACTTAAATTTAACATTGTGCGATAATTGAAAAATTTAGAAAATATTTTACATTTTTGTTCATTAAATAATAATGAACACTTCAACAAATAGCAACAGCTTTTAAATTACATTTTTTTCTATCAATTTATTTTCGATGTCTGTATTTAATGAACAAATTTCATCAATTCGGAATTGTTTTTCTTTGTTTATTTTTCTTTTGCAAATTTGACCATTTTCTTTGACTCTGGGGCAATTTGGGGTGTTAATCATCACATCATCATTGTCGACGTTGTCATCATCATCAACGATGGAACAGTTATACAACTTTTTCAATGCATTATTAACACATATTCCTGACACAGCAAACAAACCATCAGGATCATCAAATATATCGAGGGCATCATCAAATGGTATGTTATTGGATTAGTTCTACTATATCTATGCCATTTCTTTTTTCTTTTTGTATAGCATAATATAGATTTTTTGGTGTCGTGAATGTGATTGTTTGTGTGTGTTGATCTTCTTGATTTATGAGAATAGATGTGTTTTTCTTTTTCTCACATTTAATCTGGGCTCTTAAATTGCTACCACTTTCCTTGACAAAAAAAAAACACCATGATAAATCAAATGCAAACAAAAGAGAAGACTAATAAGCATGAACAATGTTCTTACAACACAATTTTACAATACTTTCTGTCCACTTTTCTAAAAAAATGTTTTTTGCGAGTTTTATTGATTATTTATAAGCTACATTTCTATTGTTGTAATTCGTTGTTTTATCAAGCATTTTTTTTGGTACAAATTTGATCTAAACTTTAGACTGCGAAATAACCAATGTTTGGAATCGCTATATGCTTGCAATGTTATAATATTCAACCAAAAATAAAGACGCCACCTAGGCAATTCCGTACTCAAACTAAAGTGTCAACCACTGTTATCGAACGGGTTGTCAGTTTAGTTTGAATATTGGTTGAAAATAAATCAGACCATTTTCTTATATTGGAAATAACAGCCAAAATGTCATAAATATCATTGATTTCTTTCGTGCTAACGAGACAATTTTTGTAATTTTCTTTATCCTACCGTAGACGCATTAGATTCAAAATTTAGCGATGAATCTGATGATTTAGCTGATGAAGGTATTTCCGGACCCGAACGAGCATATCGTGGACCACATTTAGTATTTCCATTACAGAAAAAAGACATTGACACATTAATTGAACTATTCCGAAAGAAAAAGGTATGGTCGCGTCGAATGTTTCAATAGAATTTTGCACTTAAATGCTGAACAGTTTCAGTTTTAATTGATACCTATGAAAATGGGCGCGTTTTCTTCCGCTGATGTTCGAAATTCTTTAAATTATTCAAAACATATATCAAAACTTGGCAATCACACTTAAAATTCAACTTAGCCATCAAGTCATGATAAGCCAAATTAATGGCTTCACGACTTTTCCCGGTTGGAATTTTATGTAACATTGACCAAGAGTAGACTAAAAAACCAATTTGTAAAAAAATCTTTAAAAAAACTTTTTTTCTCGCTTTTATTTCTATGAATAATGTCACTGTGTAATGGCTTCGTTTTCATCTGGCCAATGGTTGTATCCATGAAAATCGTGCACACTAAATTATGTGCTGGTGAATTGATGGTTGGTGCGCGGGGTCTGAAACGATTCAAACAAAATCAAACGTATACACATCACCTGTTTATTGCCGGCGTTGCGTTGTCGATTCACCTATATACATTTACATGAACATCGTACAGTATAATCGTTTGCATGCAAAATACGTGGCTGGTATATTGAAGGAAGCAACAATACGACTGAAACGTTTACCTAATTTGAATCAAGCGTCCACTGCCATATCGAAGCAAGTTACCATTTGTGGTGATTTACATGGAAAACTTGATGATTTATTGGTGGTATTTCATAAGGTAAGGCTAAACTGTAATATGTACCAAATACGATAGGCGAGAATGTTTTTTTATGTATATAGGTGAAAAAAATTGAAAACGGTTGAAATGGTGCTTCGAATGGAACACAAAACGGAAACAACCTACGCACACACACAAAAAGAAAAGGAAACGAATAAAACATCTACATATCAAATGTACTCAGTTGTTAGATTTCCAACCTTTGGTGTAGTTTGAATGGTTTGAATGCCATGGAGTAAGATGGTAGTCGGTATTTTTTTTGCAACTATAGCATTTACGATGTGGAGCGCAATTTTTAATCTTCTTTTAAAATTCTGATGATCGGATTATTATGAGTTAAATTTCCGCCAGATACACATTCATACATGTATACACTGCCTCCAAAAAGTTTCAATACGCCGTGTTTCATGCAAATTGACAATTTTTGGTGCACAATTGGACATTTCAAGAGCATAGTATATTTTATCCACTTGAATTTTGAATGCCGATTTTCTATTCAAATTGAGATAGATGAAATAGAAGTGGATATTTCTTCATAGACAGCACAATTAATTTGTAATTTGCAAACAGACAGGAGTACTAGATATGATAGGTATACTGTATAGCTATTTTAGATTAGAACTACATCATTGATATATTAAATAATTCGCTAAAAACGTTCAATTTATTTGAAAAAATGCATAGTGTATCCAAACTTACTGACGGTAGTGTATGTATATAAATATAAACCAACAATGGTTGGCATGCAAAAAATAGCTAAAATAGCCATGGAAACGTTATTATTTTAAAATTCTTTGAAATGTTTTCCATGAATGCAATTTTCATGTGCAATACTTAAATTTTATCTTAAAAGGAAGTAAAATGGTTAGTAACATAGTTTAAATAAGGTAAATATTCAGAACTTGGGTTTTCAGGTCAGTTGTAATGCATTCCGGCTCAAGATAGTTATGTCCGGTGAAGCTGAACAATTTGTACATCGAACAGTGTACAACACTACAGTATGAAACAAATTCAATTCCATTTTGGCCTCAAATTTTCTTTTTGACCTCAAAAAGGGTACCAGTTTAATAATACTCTCGATTTTATATAAAATTTATATAATAAATAAGGCAATAATTTTTCTTTTCGCGAAATTTCAGGTGATTCTTACTGGGTTTTTAGATTTTTATACCATTTCACATTACAAAGTTGTCAATATTCCTTAACCAATGTATTTTTAACAACTCCAAATTCTACGAGATGAACAGAAATGTTGCATCAAAATACCATGGTATCCGGTGAAAAACAATATTGCATTTAAGCCTGTGTATTTGATGTTAGGAGGTTTTTCAAAGCGACATCATCTAAATGACACGGCTCTAGCGAACTAACGCACTAATAATACACAGGATCACACTGACTCCGATTATACGGTACCAAAGCACGACGACAATGACAGCTGGGCAACGCAGCAACTTCATTATGGCTGTCACTGTTTATGTTGGGTCGCACAAATTTGTACCATTTTTGATTCAGGCGATCGAAATTTGTGCCATTTTTTGGTTTCGCTGGAAACCGCACCATGGCGCTACTGTCAACGTTGCTTGTCATCGTCAGTGACCGGTTCGCGCATATTTCTATGCCTGATAGCTATGCTAAGCATAGCGGAGACGCAAACCGCAACGCACCCGTCGCCATTCGATTCGAGCATTATTGTATGCGCACGGTCGTCTGCATAAACGAACATGTGCATTGTTCATATAAAGTGAACGGCGATGCGTCGGTTGCGTTTGCGGCTATGCTTGGCATATCTATGCTACCTAGCGTATTTAGGCAAGCATAGAAATATGCACGAACCGGTCACTGGTCATCGTCGCGCTTTGTATGGTACTCAGTGTTTTTGTTTGGACGTTTCTCGAACATGTAGTAGTAAATCTTAATGTTTTTCTCTCTATGTGTGTATTGTAAAATTTGCTCAAGCAGCTACGACTGTCAACTCAGTGCAGAATTTGCAATACATACGAATACATATAATCAGAGTCAGTGTACTCCTGTTTATTATTGCGTTAGTTTGCTAAAGCCGTGATGTCGCTTTGAAAAAAATTCTGACAGATTTGGCGATACTGTTGCCCACCGATGCTATCAAATGTAAAAGATTCAATAACAGACATTGACATGGACGAGTATTCATTAACTAACCAAACGTTAAGCTATTTTTGGGGTTACCCCAATGTGCATTTTTTTCAACATATAAAATTAACTTAATTCGTTATAATAAGAAATCAACACATAAACTTACCGATTTCGTAAGCCATTTGGAATTGAGTGATTCCACATGATTTTGTCCGATTATAAAATACTTTGTTGCACAATGCGAATCGTCAATTTAATTTCATATCCATTTATATGACTCGCATAAATGACAAACACTTTATGTTGTTCAGTAATGACATGCGAATCGTCACCGAAATCGAATTTTATTCGATAAATTTCGAATCTATCATCAAAGTGGAAAATGGCCGAATAAATATTTTCAACAAAATCAGATTACGAATACATCATTCGAACAATTGATGAGAAAATAAAATGCTATTAATTTAGCACCGATCCCTAGATTACGATTGCCACTTCAGAGTACAAAAAATGGTAAAAAGAAACCCAAACGAAATAAGCAGCAACTAAAATAATTGCCTTTCGATCATAACAATAATAATACTTTATTCCGAATATGTATTTCCGAGAATTTAAAATAATTTCTTTCGTCTGCTTCCGATTGATTGAATTTAAGCTCATCTTAAGCTTCTCAACACAATGAAAGCGAAACATATCAATCCATATACATACATACACACATGGAGCGTACATTTTTTCGGTTGCTGAATTTGAACAAACTTTCTATGTTTGGAGATCTCAAAATTCCACTATGAATTTCTCCTAATACAGTCAACTGCTCAAAAACTCGCCAAGAGAACCGTCTGATTGAGGTATCAAACTGGTATATACATCAAAATGCATAATTTGTACATTTTAGTGGTATGAACGATTTTTTTCAAATTTGACATTGAACTGAATTTGACTAACCATTTATCTATCTTTGACTATTGACATGCTTTGCTGCTACTATAAATGATAAATTTATAAAAAAAGAATATATATGCAGTATCCGTATCTTATAAACTCAAACATCAACCGACTTAATAAAAGCATTACGTAGGCAAACATTCTAGAATAGATGTCGAGAGAATTGAAATCGTTCGTCTTTTGATTTTCTGATTTTGCAACCAATAGCATTCATTTCATTTTGTAAAACCATTTTATGTCCATAATAGGATGTGTTGGATATTTACATGGATGAAAATCTCTTTTCCTCTCAATAAATCGTTTACTCTACAATCTACATAAATTCATTGGTTAGCTATAGCATATCGCTTTTGTTTTATATCATCGAATGCGCCATACGAAAGTTTATAATGAAATGAATCATCGAAAACACGAACTACGCAATATTTTTTGAAGAAGAAAAAAACAAAAAAACTTTCATCGTTCAGCAGAAACAACATTTGACTTTAAAAAAAATTTCTTTGTCTTACAGCATTTATGGCGAAAATTCTCTTTGTAACTAGCCCTTTTGACTTTAAATCACAATTTTTCGATTTGTTTGTCTTTCACTTTGTTTCCGTTGCATTTTATCAAGGCAATCAGTAAGTAAAAATTGAGAAAAAAACTCGATTAGTTCCAACGTGAGTTATTCAAATAAATCGAATTGTTCATTTGATTTGAGGGCGCTTCCGTCATTCATGGCCAATTTATATTGAATTTTGACATTGAAAGGCAACTATTGCGGCCTACATCAATTCCTTGTGGAATCTATCGTATCGTTCTCTAGAGTGACATATATATTATGTTATAGATACTCTACGGTACACAATAAATATTTGTGTACCATCAATACATGGATTGACAACTAGTTCGCACTAATGCGACAAATATATAACAATCTATACTTAATTTTGTATGTAAAATAGACGACGTATTCATTTACGAATAATAATATTTATGCACACAGTGCAGAATTCACTTGTTTTCAAGTTAACTTAACTAAAATTGAAATGTATACTTCCCTCTTGCTTACACTTTCCGTCATTTTTTATTTTCGTCAACCTTCCAACCATCCATGATTGATATTCTTTGACAAAACCACTTTTGAAAACTTCATATTAGTTGAACTTGCATAATAATTAATTTTGTAAAAAATCTTCATTTTTCATTTTTCATACAAATATAAAATGTGTAACAAATGAGCTATGATTCTTATTGCCATTAAATAATACTTCAAAACTCATTACTAAAGCGCTCAACTGGACTGAATCTTGACTCCCACGTCATAGCCATTCACAACCTGTAAATGTTACTAAAATTCCTGTCAAGCAGCAACACGCTGCAAAAAAGAAATCTGAACCGTTTTAATGATACCGCTCATTTTCTTTCCTTCTTTCGTTCTAAGTTCAATAAAGTTTTAATTGTAGCAGACACCAACACCAGTGTATGGCAAATTGAATTCGTAAACTATCTGCTTTTGTCGAACATTCATGTTGTTAATTTTTTTTTTTGTTACAAGTTACTGTGTCCCGATGAATTATTGACCCGAATTAATTCGTAAAACGTATTTGGTGTTAAATTGGTATGTTGTTATTACAGTAAAACATTGATGCTTCGACTTGTACATGGATACAAACAAACACACCATTAACAGAAATGTTTTTATGTCAATATTAGATTGTATGTTGCGCTAAATGGGACAACGATCGCTATGAGCTCACTTAAGCATGGATGGAATTATCTCCATGAAAATCACTAGGAACTGCACATGGATTGTGTGCTTTTATGCATATTTGTTTATGTCCCCAGGATATAGATCAGAATTGATGATGACTCAACATGGGTTTCTCATGTCAGTTCGATGTTCAAAACCAAAACCGACACATTCAAACGATACTAGGCACCAATGACAAGACGTTTGTTTTTTCTTCTTCTTTTGATTTTAATAGCATCAAGACATCAACGGGAATACCACCAATCGTTTGATTTATACATATAAAAGGCACGCATATAATGTAATAGACCCGGATCAACAAAAAAACTTCAACCGTGAGATCATAAGACCGTGAATCGAAAACCGTTTTAAACTTTAAAGTCAATCGGTTACAGTGGAACGAATAACATCGAACCAATGTTCATATATAAATGACTCCCAACTAATCATGAAGTTTTGAAGAGAATGAACATTTGAACATATGAACATTTTCGTTTTGCTTTATAAATTTTCAAACCAACTTTCTACCTTTAATTTACAAACTCATCGACGAAACATTTGAGAAATGCGACATTTTCTTTTCCCTCTCATTATTCTTCTTCCGAAACGGAACAAAACTATTTTTCTTGATGTTTTTTTTTAAATGTTAGTTTTATAAGCACTTCAAGTGCTTGTGTGCTTTTCGAATCGAGTAAAACACTCATGTTTTTGAATAATGTGGAAAATTTGGAAGTATGTTACAAAACCATCGTAGGTGTGTAGATCTAGTTGATTGGATGTTGTGATGGAAAGTTTACATAGTTAACTATTCATTATTCTATTGTTTTATAGAAACTTTGTCTTCAAGGAAACAACAGTACTGTAGCTTAGAGATTAATATTCACGGATGCCAAGCGACTGAATGAAGTAATCGAAAGTCAAGAGTATAGAAAAATATTTGTAATAAATGTCTGGTGATCTATTTTTCATGGGAAACGAATAACTATCATCCGACAACATTATTGGATTTGTTTAACAGCTAAAATGCGCTTATTCTTTCACAAACGAAAATTCTTATAAAACGTTCTTTTTCTCAAATGGCAAACATACAAACTACAATGTACAATCATGGTAATTTGTTGAATAAATGTCAAGCTGCACATTTTTTTGCTGAATTTCTGATCTTAATTAAGTGTGCATTGTCTAAATGTCCAAAGTTTGTGAACGAAAGACAAATAGTATCAAAATTCGATTGAATCTGGAATACATGAAATGAAGAACTTAATGGGCGTGCAATTTTGATGAAATATTTGGTATCGCTTTAGTTTCACTTTGCTAGTGCGTTCATTGCATTCACCAAAACCACAAGTCTTTGGTTCCTAGTTTGGTTCTTCAAGGTGTGCCTGCAGCGAGAATTCTATACTTGAAGTCACTGTTTGAAGATAGAAATTGTTGTTGTCACACAATCGAAATGTCCCATTCCCAGCATATATTTTTATGCTCCAGATGGCAGCAGCGCTGAATAAAACTCTGATCACAATATTCAATTTGACTACAAATCTATGTGTGTAACAATTGAATTTTATGTTTAAAAAAAAGAAAATTTCTAAATTGTGCCATTTCATGTTAAACAGTTGCATTTCTCAAAGTGGTAGTAGATTGTAGTTTCAGTGTGCACGCACATTTACAACTAATTTTTAACATGAACGACGTTATTTGAAAAATTTCGTGCATCACACAGTTCGTGCATATTGAATATTCAAGCATTTGTGTGTGTCAGACATTGATCCGATGTATCCGATGTCTTCTAAAATTTCCAAGTTATTTGCTTTTAGTGAAAATAGCAACTCAAACATTATATTGAGATATTTTTATGCAGTTGATTCAGCTCAAATAATTGTTATGGTTATAAAGACTGCAATCACTTCTATTGTTTTCACTCCGTTCCAGCGCCTGACGTCAACCCCCTGAGCAGATTCATCTGACTAAAATAATCTTAATATAATGTCTGTAGCATTTTGCTTGCATTGCAAAGAAGTGAAGTCTTAATCTCGTCGCTTTTTTTTTCTATCACACAAATGCAACTTCGTATCGTTGTATGATCTTTGTTTGTGTAATTGAACCAAATGGTATGAGAAAAAAATTCTATTCGAATATCTCTCTATTTCTCTTGTGTAATGTGTATGCGTACTTGCTTGGCATGACAACCAATTTACCACACTGTTAACTATTGCTTAAGAATTTAATTCTATCTCCATGAGAGAACCGTTTTTTCCTACGATTGTAAAAAAATACAATCATTTCATACAACATAGTGCAATCACTTAAATGTAAAAATGGAAACAAGATGTACACATTTTTTTAGATTATCTTCTAGATTTTTTGTATCCCGTTTTTTTTTGTCACAACATCTTTTCAATTTGAATTTAATACCGTTTTTTCCTGTCGTATTTCATACTATAGAATGGTTTACCATCACCTGAAAATCCGTACGTTTTTAATGGTGATTTTGTGGATCGTGGCAAAAAAAGCTTAGAAGTATTACTGTTACTGCTATCCTGCCTTTTAGTATTCCCCGGTGGCGTCTATTTGAATCGTGGCAACCATGAAGATACCGTCATGAATGCAAGGTAAAATATCTATGTACAAAATGTATTTTCCAACCCCAATATCACCCTGTTTTCCGAAACAAACAAACAAATGAACGCGAATTCATCGTAAATGAACAAAAACTATTAAACGAGTGCTTTAAAACTTTGACTGAAGGAAATTATATATCTAATAAAGCATTTTCTTTCCAATGCCATCGTAATAATTATTCTATATCTATTCCATTTTTGTTTTTCATCATAAACTATCTGTTTTCTTTTTCAATTCCCTTCTTGCTTCAACTGAAAATACAAAAAAAAACTCGACACATTATCTTCGAAATTATCAAAAAAAAAAAAAAAAAAACTAATCAAACAATTGAAAATATGTTTGGTCAATACAACACTATAAAACCAGGTATGGTTTTATTCGGGAAGTTCACCAAAAGTACAAGGTTTGCATTTTAAAAAAATCTTAAATGTTCTTTTTTCTTTTCATTTCTTTTACTCAACGCTTTTTGCTCGCTATAAAAATGCTCACCACATGTAATCTTTGATTTTATATATGTTGTTGCTGTTTGAGTGTGTATTCTATCTGTGAATTTCATGTTTTATTTTGCCATTTTTTTATTTCACATCTACACCACATTCATTTCAGCTCGTCATGCTTGAATAAAGATCTATAGACATTCAGACATTCCAGACATATTTTTTTTCACCATGCATTCGTCGAATAGATGAGAAGAACGTTGGAATTGTGTTTTTATTCATTTTGCTGTGCTGTATATGCTGTGACATAACTGAAAGGTTGTTGCATGAAATCAAATGTTTTATATTTACTTGTAACTTTACCTGTAGTCTTTCTGAAACAAAAATATGTTTATGACGTGTGGCATTTGTTTATTTCTTTCTTCCGCAATGCAAAAATAAAAAGAAGAAGAAGAAAAAAACAAACCCATTTTTGCCAGTTCTTCGTGCTTTTCCATGTTGTTGGAAGTAGTTCTTTTTATGTACACTCCTTTTCTACATTTATTCGCTACTATTTCTTCTTTTCTTTGAATACACGCTTCGTTAACATTTCTAGAGGTTATGTTTATTTTCCCATAAAAATTAAGCGATAGCGAACATCAAACGACAGAATAGTCATGAAGAGCTAAAGTCATCATTATACATGCACACACACACACACACAAAAATACATTCACGCAATCGAATTTTACTTGGTTACAACACATTTTTGCCCGAATCGGACGTTAAGTACCCAGTTTCGAATGTTGCACGTACTTCCATTTATAAAAAAAAAACTTTTATTTTCGTACAAAATTATTATCTGCTCTCTTTCATTTTCTCTATTATATTATGTAACTAGAAATTTTTAGTTTGTTTTATATGCGTGTAACTCTTTTTCGGTCTCTCTTATATTCGACTATAAGAACTAAGAATGGCTTGCACTTTTCGTCGGTATCATACTATGTTCTCAAATACTGAAGACGCTCATTTTTTGCATATGTTTCCACCACTCTTTGTTTTTCTTTGCAAAAAGTGTTCACTGTTTTATTTTCCCATAATTATTATTATTCTTTGAAAAAGTCTCTCGTTCATTTGCACATTTTCAATAGTAAAGAAAAAGAAACTGAGTATGCGTGTTGCTATGTTCTAGAAAATAAGAATGCAAATATTAGCCAAATAGATTTATTTGTTTGCTCATTTTTCTTGAAATTTTCTTATTTTTGTTCTTATTCTGATGTGTTAAAATACAGCATAACGCCGAACGATTATTAAAACTAATTGAGGAAATTTATCGATGGCTTCCATTGGGTACAATCGTCAATAATCGGGTATTTGTAGGTTAGTTTTCATCCTTTTTTGGCGTTGATATTGATTTTTCATTAAGCATAAATTGTCTTTATTGTTTTCATTAAAAAGTTCATGGTGGCATATCGGATACGACTGATTTGGATCTTTTGAAAAGCTTGGATCGTGGTAAAGTAAGTACCCACAATGGCATTATTACATAAAATATATATATATGATATATTCCGTATGTGGAATGGTCAGAGAGTTCATGGTAACCATTGTAAACATATTTATCAACCAAATATACTGACCGGATTTTAGATTGGGGATTTCTTTATGGCCTTTTGAAGAGCCGTAATAATGTTTCCACAAACATATATTCGAAATATGGGCTCAATCAATGAGCTTATTGTACTTTATCAATCATTAATATCATCTATGCAGAGAGATTGAATTTTTGGAGTTCGAAAAGGGTACATTCACAAAATATTCAATACTCTAACCACATTGTTAGTTTGTGCACGCCGTTTTTGTTTTCATCCACATTGACGGTACCAAAATCCGTTTGGGTCGGATTTAAAATTACTCGTGTAATCTATTTCTCATTATTGCGGTCATTGAAGGCGTAAGAGCATAAAATCTCATTTATTTCACGAGGTTTCCCGTTGATGAATTTTATCTCAATATCAATTACATTTAATTTGAAGCGGATATGTTAGTTTATCGATTACTTCATAAATTAAAGCTTTTAATTTGGTTGAATGTACCGAATGCTCAAACTTTCACACAACTACCGCCACGATGAAACAGCTGACTAGAACCGTAGTCGTCCGTAGTGGCGCTAGCCGTACTACAGTTTTGCATTTTATAGGGTCTCTTATGGGACATAATTGCAGTTCGTAAGGTATTTTCGACCACTTTTGACTGTCACGTACCCAACTGATGAGCAGATCACGCAACTTATGTTCATGCAAACCCTATACAAAATATCGGTTACACTCCAAATCTGGGGGATAAATTTACTTTGATAATTTCTAACCTTTTTCTAGAAATTATCATAAACTAAGCTATGGAAATAGAAAGATTCGATTTATGTTGATCTTAGTTGAGTTTCGCATCGATACCGCGTCCCAAATATATATGTATTATTTGAAAATGTCGAAATTAAGTGAACAGTGCCTTTAAGTGGTGATAATTAATTTTGAAGTGGCATGATTATGACTATTGTTTTTGATGTATACTCATGTTTCGCTTAATTTGGACTGCAATAAGTTGTAACTACGGCTACTTCAAAAGTCATTTCAAATAATTTGCTAGTAATTTCTTGGAATTGATTTGACTTGCCATCCGGCAAGATTACATGATACTATGGCTAACTACTTTTGATGACACACAGTGAACGCATGTTCTACATTCATACACACACACATATACATATATATATTATCAAAATGTTGGCAAATGTTCACTGACACTCTCAAACTTAATTGAATTTTAGGATCAGTAGACAGTTGACAGTTCACATATGTTGTTTTGTTTGATACACCGTCTATGTTTTTTATTAATTATTCTTGTAAAAACTGAATATTTTTTATTACAAAATTGATTAAATTGAACATTAAAGTGCTGTGCATCTATAGAAAATCGAGTACAGTGAATTTAGTTAAGATTTTTATTGATTTAGAGAAAGTGACTCTGCATATTTTTTCGTAGTGTATTTTGTTGTTGTAGTGTGTCAAAATGACACCACAACATCAATGTAGTAATGACGATTGCCCAGCGGGACCGAAAATCAAGTGTATAAAATGCGGAAAATTGTGTTTCATGAAATGTTTTGGTCTTGTAAATCATGAAAGCATCGACAACAACGAAATTGTAAAAGTATCATTGTCAAATGGCGGCTCAATTTTCGCATTTTTACCGTCGTGTGCATTTGTTTGTTGTGAGAACGAACTGTCAAAGACCGAGTTGAAAAAAACATTGAAAGTTCCGAAAAACAGTCGTTCGTCGTCCAAATCGCGTCAATCGACCGAAAATGTTGAAATTACATCCGTTATCACCGAATTGGCCGAAATAAAATCCATGATTATGGAAGTAAAATGCAAAACTACCGACATTCACGATGACACACAAAATATAGTGAAAAAATCGGCTGATATTTACAAAGCAACCGACGTGCTAATGGGTAAAGCCAACCGGCCGCCACTTTTAACCCGTAATGGTCCTACACCAAATGCATCGAATAAAGTGAATTTAATTGATATTCAATCACCGTCAACACCGAAACCATCTTTTGCCAATGCTCTTCGTAATAATACTGCGATACAAAAATCGGCCAAACGAAAACGAAGTGATAATGTACCGGTGCAAAAACCAAATTTGCCGTCAGTGAAAACTGGAACAAAATTGGGTCCATGTGCATTAACAGTGGCACCAAAGAATCGTGATTCGAAGCCAAAATTTGAAAAGGCCGTTTGGGTGTCAAGATTCCGGCCAGAAGTGACAAGTGAACAAATTATTGAGCTAATTAAGGAAAATACGACGATCAATGACCAAAACCGAATGAATGTCCACAAATTAGTGAAAAAAGACCGTGATTTGTCCAGTTTAAGATTCGTGTCTTTCAAAATTGAAACGAACACCGAGGATTTTGATGTTTTAATGAATCCAGATGTCTGGCCAGAAGATATTATGGTGCGTGAGTTTTTGCAAAGCCTAACTTTTGGTGATTTCTTTCCGGCTTTACCAACAAACGAGAATCGAAAAATGACACCCGACAAAATGGAAACAACCGAACAAAAATCACCGACAAACATTATCAAACCACGGCAACAAATGTCATCGAAAACAACACCGTAATAGACTTTGAGCAATTAAAAACATCGCATCAAAATGAAAATTCAGCTCCAAACCAAACAAAATTGAATGTGTATATTCAAAACACACATTCTATTCGCGACAAAGTCGATGAGATACGATTATCAACAAAATCGTGTCCCTTTCAAATAATTTCTTTTTTCGAAACTTGGCTACAAAAATGCATCACAGACATTGAGCATTTCGGAAAGCGGTATAATGTGTATCGTGGCGATCGAACGGAACTGACAAGTGACAGAACAGACGGTGGAGGTGTTTTGGTTGCAGTGGATTGCATATTCAACAGCGAGAAAGTGACTCTATCGGAGAACAGTGGCCTTGAACATGTATGTGTAAAAATTTCGTTCCAGTCGTGCAATGTTTTTGTGTTTGCGGTGTACATTCGGTCGGTGCACGAGACAGCAAAATTCTTGGAATTTGCTGAGATTGTGAAACAGATCCCGTACAATGAAAATGACATCGTTATTGTATGCGGTGATTTTAATCAGCCCGGTGTCAAATGGATCAGAGCCGACGATGGTAATTATTATCTGCCAATCAATGTGTCGACAGAAGGTGGCATTGCTGTTTTTGACACAATGTTCGATTCTGGATTCCACCAACTGTCAAATATCGTGAATCCAGCCGGCAATGTTTTGGATTTGGTTTTCACAAACAAATTCTATGAGATGTCGTTGATTGAATCAACACGACCATTGGTAAAATCCGACATATGGCACAAGGCAATTGAAGTCGAAGTGACAATTGATGGACATGAGCCCATAGCCCCGCAGACATCGGAAATATATGCATACAATTCGGCTGATTTCAGTGCAATGAATGCATTCTTCGATGCGAATGACACTTTGGCAGGAATGAATCGAATGGATGACCTCGAGAATGCATTCCAAGTTTTTGGACATGTTCTACACGAGGCGATCGATTATTTTGTTCCGAAAATCACCGTACAAAAGAGCACTGATCCACCGTGGTACACAAGACCATTGAAGCACCTGAAAAATGTCAGAAGAAAGGCATACAAACGTGCAAGGGAATCTGGCAACTTTGACGAATACAATGCCATCACCGATTCGTTCCTGCAATTGCAGGGCCAGCTTTTCAAGTCGTATATCAGCCGTATACAATCGCAAATCAGAGCAAATCCAAAACATTTTTGGAGATTTGTGAACGACAGAAGAAAAAGAAGCGATATTCCGGCTATTGTTGAATACAACAATGAAATTGCGGACACTGACACATCGAAAGCCGAATTATTTGCTGATTTTTTTGAAAATCAGTACACACGAAGCGACATTATCAATTTGGATCAATTGTTAGGTGAATGCGAAGACGTATCATTTGACATTGACATATCTGAAGTCGATGTGTTGGAGGCATTGCAATCGGTCAACGTGAATAAAGGAGCCGGCCCGGATGGTATATCACCGAAACTGTTGAAAAATTGCGCGCACACATTGTCGAAACCATTAACAGTCTTATTCTGTAAATCACTACATCAAGGATGTGTTCCGGCAACATTGAAAAATTCAAGAATTGTGCCAATATACAAGTCTGGTAAAAAGAGCAACGCGTCGAACTACAGGCCAGTAGTTATAATACCGACAATAGCCAAACTTTTCGAACTTGTTGTGTATAACAAAATCAGCACATTTGTTAATTCGAAAATCTGCCACAATCAACATGGATTTGTGAAAAATAGATCAACATCGACAAATTTGTTGCAGATGGTGAACTTCACGATCGATTCTATGATCAAAAAATGTCAAACGGATGTGCTTTATACTGATTTCGAAAAGGCCTTCGATCGTGTGAACCATATGAAATTGTTGCAGAAGCTGGTGAGATTTGGATTCGGCCGACGGCTTGTCAAATGGTTCCATGGATATTTGACAGATAGGACACAGTTTGTTGGAATCGGTGAACGAAAGTCACGAACTTTCACTGTATCTTCTGGAGTACCAGCGGGAAGTATTTTGGGACCATGTCTCTTCATTGTTTTTATTAACGACATTGTCGAAATCGTGTCAAATGCACTTGTTTTATTATTTGCAGATGATTTGAAATTGATCCGCACCATACAATCGCCCATTGATGCCATAATTTTTCAGAATTCCATTAATCAATTGAGCGACTGGTGTACTGAAAATAGCTTACATTTGAACCTGAAGAAGTGTTTCGTTATGACATATTCGAAAAGCGGAAACATAGTTAACTACGATTATTCGATCAACAACGGCCAACATACATTTGAACGGATCAATTTACACAAGGATCTGGGAGTTGTATTCGACACGAAGCTAACATTTGTCAATCACATCGAAGCAATTACAGCCAGTGCACATGGGGCAATTGGTTTCATCAAACGCACATTAAAGAATAAGTTTACAATTGAATCTGCTAAAATATTATATTGTGCACTAGTCAGATCAAAATTAGAGTATGCGAGTATTGTATGGCAACCATATCACCGTATCCATTCCAATAGAATAGAATCAATCCAGAAAGATTTTGTGATATGGGCATTGAGATTTATTTACCAAAGAGATGAAAATTTTGTGCTACCACCGTATCAATTTAGATGTGATGTTTTAAATATTCAACCGCTTTGGAGACGGCGTATAAATGCCTCTGTATTTTTAATTTATGATCTCCTTTTGGGTAAAATAGTGTCGAGTTCACTTAGAAATAAAATTGTATATACAAGACTGCAATATGACGAAAACCAAAGAAATTTAAGAAGTACAGAACTGATTAGAGTTAGGGCATTTTCATCGGATTATGCACATAATCAGCCGTTTTACGTAGCTTGTAGGAACTTTAACTTGATAAGAGAAACATTTTTGGAATCGGCATCAAGACACATCTTTAGAAACAATATTGTCAAATTGGAAAATTCGATATTTGATCGGTAAAAAATTTAACTTTTAATTTTTATGTATTATATAGAAATTAAAACAGTGAACACAGTCGATATCTGCTACTCCGAAGTCGAGAAGGCTGGTGGCTGGGTATACGATCGGGTGGTGTTTCATTGTGAACGATATTGTACAAATTTTGTGATAAATTCAGTCTGTGATCAGACGGTGAATAAATAAATAATATCAATAAAGAGCGAGGGAGTGCTTTTGGAGAACGACACGGAGATAGATGAAATGAAATACATTTTTGTTTTTCGCTGGTGTGAATGCGAGTGCCGCATATACAATTGAAATAAAAAATTGCTATTGAAGTTTATAAAGAAATGAAACGAAAATATTATGGGGCTGAAACAAAAAGTTGATATCAAAAAGTTTTATTCAATTATGTGATATGAAATTATGGGTATTGTAATGGTGCCTCCCCTATTTCCCTCTCTTTCTTGCTGCTATTCTTGATGCTCGCACAAAATGAAACAATAAATGTATTATTGTGCGTATACATTCGATATTCCAAATTTTTGGCTCATGTACGGTGTATGCATTTTGTCACATGAGTCTATTCCACTTCCATTTAGGTGTGGATATGGGTGAACGAGCACTTTGCGATAATTTTCATCACTTCGCATCGATGCGTGATTTAGCAATACCATTATACAATGCCATGCATTCGCATAGAATATCAAGTGAATGTGTCGAATTGGGAACGGCGGCGAACAGACGAATAGAATGAGCAAGTAAAATATAATTTGAAATGAACGATGAACGAAAGTGTAAATGAAATTTACCTCAAGTAAAATAGGCAATAAATGAAGACACAACACTCGAAGAACATCGAAATGAAAATCGTATCATCTACTATATATTTTGTAATAAAATTATCGAATGTCGCTTAAATTTGGTGAAATAAGTCGACAAGAGCTTTCAGTCTGAAGAACTGAGTGCCATTTCGATACATATTACACGTTAAAAACGAACTTTAGGCCAAAATATTTTTCGTGTGAATTATTGCCATTTTGTTAATATAAATACAAAAAATACACACAGCTGTACGGTATTTGTGTGTATGTACATTTCAGCGTTTACAGGCATACACGAATATACGTATAGCAGACATTGGGGATCACACAAATATTAGCTGTAAACGATTTACTTCATTTTTCATTTTTTTGTGTGTCCCAATTTCTTGGCAGCAAATGACAAAAGCGATCAAAATATATAAAAACCAACCGAAAAAAAAAATTACAATTCCTTTCAACAAAATCAAATTACATTATGGGATAATAATGGTGAGCTGTCCGTTACACACTTGAACATGCACACACCGGCGTGTGTACGCATATGCATGTCGCACACAATCTGACATATTCTCTCAACATATAGCATTTTTCGGTGTTGCTTTTTTTTATTTGCAGAAATTTTAACACACCGTTGTGATACAGACTGGTGTGTGTATGGGCGAATTTATTATGATTTATGATTTCATTGTGTGCCATGGTATGCGGTATTGCTGACGATTCATACATAAAAAAATATTCCACTCACCAGATAAATTAAGGCAAACGCGTCTGCATTTCCAATTTTCTTTTCATTTTTCTTCCTTCCACTTTCTCTCTCTTTCTCCCTCTCTCTCTCTCTCTCTCTCTCTCTCTCTCTCTCTCTTCCTCTCTCGGTTACACTGTATTGGGATGTGTGTTATACCGCCCACAAATTGACACAAGCACAGTTCCTAAAGCAGTAATGACAAACATGAAATTTTATTTTTGATACTGATGGGGCATTTGTGATCGGGATCGAAATGGTGATGTAGCGCTTTCAGTTCACACCGCATCTGGTGTTTTTTTTATCGTAAATTCTTTCATCACACCTTAAGATTAGATTGATTGAGTGTCAGCCCGAGTTTATATTTACATTATGATAGAAAATCTATTTAATCTTAACCAAAATGAAATGATCTTCTATGAAAATGGAAAATTGACACACTTATGACGAAGCTTCATATACATATTTTTTTGCTTCGATGCTCTTCTCACTCTCTCATTTACACAACAACAATTTCTGGGGCAATAGCGTGCTTTTTAGTCAGGAAATGTATGTTTAATGTTAAAATTCTGATTAAAAATACGTAAATTCAAATCAGATGTGTTAATAACAAATTTGCAGTCATATCAACCATGTACGTAGTGCATTTTTTTTACCTCGAATGATGGGTCGAAAATTTAAAATATAAAAAAAAATCTTTTTGATGTTCCCAGATGATATCGTCAGTTAGTTCGTTTTTTCTTTGCTCAAAATAAAACGGAATTCGATTGAAAAATATAGTAAAATTCGTGTTGCCATAAAAAACACATAGGGTTAACGCCAAAGATTTTGAATGGAGGTGATGGTAAAAGTCCAAAGGAGGTCCCGACAAAAGATGAAAATTGTGTTACTTTTCCGCACACATAGTGTAAGGTGAAAAGTATTGTAATCGGTCAAAATTTTGAAAACTTCAGAAACATGTTTTCTGGACGTTTCTGAGGTCAGAGAACCCGAATTAGGCCGTTTTGAGCATTGTTTATGTTAATCTGTACGTCGTACGTTGTACGTCGTACGCAAAATTTGTTAGCAAGATTGCGCTCATAGTAGAAACTTAATTCAAAATCTGACTTTACAGGATGATTGGGGGCCCCGAGGAATAGAAATCATTAGCTTTTGAGCGACTTTGGTCGATGGGAAAAAATTTCATGCCTGTAGTGATACCTATGAAAAAGAGTCCAATTTTCGTCCAAAAGTCATACTTAATGTAGACTTAAACACTCAAAAATATGTATTGGGGGTTTTTTTGGCACGAGAAAATCGAATCCGAGGTTAGTTTTGAGATACAATCAATTTTTGATACAGTTTCCTTAAAAAAATCACAAAAAATTGCATTTTTGTATGGGAGCCATGCCTGTATGCTACTTTAATGACGTGAAACTTTGCACAGGCTATTTTTTACACAAAAAAATAACATTCTGAAAGTTTGAAGAGATTTCAATCAAAATTAGGGGTACCTCCCATACAACATTTTCAGTTTTTGGCTCAAAAACGAATATTTCGCATGGGAGGTACTCTTAATTTTGGTTGAAATTTCTCCAAACCCTCCGAATGTTATTTTTTTGTGAAAAAACAACCTGTGCAAAGTTTCACACCATTAAGGTAGCATACAGACATGGCTCCCATACAAAAATCCAAATTTTTTGTGACTTTAGTTATGAAAAGTGTTTCAAAAATAATTTCTATGGCAAAATTAACGTCAGACATATTTTTTTGAATGTCATTGAAAAATGATTCCATTGCTTAAAAAAAGAAACGTTTGTGGTGTACTGCGGTTAAACAGTGCGGAAAAGTTCGTCTTACGTTCGTAAGACCATTTATTTTTGATTTCAGTCGGGTCACAATTACTTAATTAAAACTGTTGAAAACCGAATGGTCATAAATACAATGGGCGGCATAATTTGAGTGACACATGTTTTACCAAATACATAAAATATTTAGATATTTCAGTTTAATATAAAAACAATTTGTATTCCCACTTGGTTGTGTTACCGTTCTAATTTGCTACCATTATAAGATGTTGATGGAAAAACACATTTTGGTGTATTTATATTTTCAAATTGAACTTTTGTTTGGGTTATAAATGTCAATAACAAAAGTCTTTTAGTCTAGACCATGTGCACTAACCAAACAAATTCAATGCCAAGCATTGTAACATTGTTCTGATATCAACATAATATATAGATTTAATTATATCCGTTTTTTGGTCTTTTTTTCTCTCTTTTCTTATCCGTATAGTACATATCGTTGTTGCGACCGCCGATAACGGATAGTAATGCACCTGGAGCCGATATTATAGACAAAGTGGAATGGAAACAGGTAAAACTCATATGTCAAAGCTTTTTCTTGTACCTGGCTGAGCTGATTCATCTGGCTGAATATATCAGACAATATATTTAGCTGTCGTCATCTGGATATTACAGCCCATCTGGATATCTTCAGCAGATGATATGAAGTGAAAACAATAGAAGTGATTGTTATAGGTATATAAGCTTGTTATATACTGGTATTACTATAACAATCACTTCTATTGTTTTCACTTCGCATCATCTGCTGACGGCATCCAGATGAGCTGAAATATCCAGATGACGGCAGCTAAATATATTGTCTGGAATATATCTCTTTATAATGTCTGGGAAAGGCAGACAAAATATGTGGATATAACATTCAAAAACCGGTTCGAAAATTCAAACGATAATTGTCTCTGAATGTCTAAACTTTTGATAAATGTAGATAGGGAAAAAAAAACTGCATAGAACAAAGCCAACACACACACACCCACACACCCACAAACCTGGTCAATAAGAGGAACTAGGGGATTATGACCATTTGCAAATATTCCGTAATTGCAAAAAAATACGTGTAAATTGAAAATTGTTGTGAATATCTTGATATTTGCTCAATATTTGTTGAATTTGTGCTTAAACTACATACATTTTCCGCATTCATTGTACGCAACGCACATTTGTTCAAAAAGGTAATGCATTTGTTTTCTATCAGAAGCCCCTAGAAGAGAAATGTCTATGCGGCAGCCAAATGCAAAACACATTTTAAGCCCAAATCCCAATCTATTGCTCCAAATGAATCATTTTGTGCAAATAAATGGGCTTTTTTGCTCAGCTCTTAAGTGCAGAAAAAAGGGAACATGATACGATTACAAATTGCTCGGTTTTTTTGGCAGCCAACTCTTGAAATCTGTGGGAAATAATTGAATGTCTGCGTATGAGTGTGCGTGTGAAATAGAATTAGTTTGAACGATAGAAACGGGTGAAGTGAAAAAAAGGGCGAATGAGCAAGCAAGAGTGAGTTCTGATTGTTCAGCCATGTGATTCTAAGCGTTAAAAATCAAATGAAACCATCACTCAAACTTTGGCTGCACGCATCTTTATCAAAAACAAAAAAAGGGAAGTCTGAAGCAAAAAAAAGCATCCATTTAATACGAACATTGATTTTTACTTCGAATCAGACTTTATTTGCATGCAAATGGAATTGCTCTTTGGGCTTTTGTATTATTGTGATTGTTTGAAATGTATGTATATGAGTGAGTGAGAGAGAATGATTCCTGTTTCATGAGTTTCATTTTTTTTTGTCTCAACTCCCTTAATAGTTACACAACTCGGAGCGTGCTATTGTTGTGCAAAGCGTGTGTCGAGATACCAACAAAAAGCGTTGGCAGGCTGGTAGGCCTTGTCAAAGTTATCGTTTGTTTCTCGCAATATTGACAAATGAATATCTGATTTTCGGAGATATATTTTGATTAATTGATTTATTTACACTGGATTGCATACAGCTATTTATCACACACACAAACACATGCGATAGAGATACGATAATTAATTGATAATTCAAACATGATTCTGTTCTTCACTTACCGCTGATGATGAATTAAAAATTAACCATTGACTGACTAGCATGTCATGTTAAATTTGTAGCGAGAAAAAAACATACACACACTTTTTTTTCTGTGTGAAAAGTACAATTATTCGAGTCAATTTATTGAATAAATAGCCATTAAGATAAAAAAAAACATAGAGATAGATAGAGTGAAGAGGATAGAAGAGAAAATGTTGAAGTGCGTTTAATAGATAAATTGCCGACAAGCTTATTATTGATGGATGAGTTGAAATGGGTTTTAGTATTTCGATGGTAAATTTGTATGCATAGTGTATTTTTGCATGTGTGTATTTGGCAGGTGTTCGATATACTTTGGAGTGATCCACAACACAACGAAGGATGCCAACCGAATGGCTTGCGTGGTGCTGGCACTTATTTTGGTCCAGATGTTACGCAAAATTTTTTGCAAAAAAATAAATTGGTGTTTTTGGTGCGATCTCATGAATGTAAACATGATGGTTACGAAATTGTACATGGCGGAAAGGTAAGCAAATTCATTTCTCTCTTTTTTTTCGTGTGCTGCGTTACGTAAAATACTATATAAATAATGTAGCATCGTATTCGTTGGCTCATTCGCGCTGAAATCTCGAACGTCATACACGCGCATGTATCGTGAAATGAAAGTTTATTTGATGTAATTTTCGGTAGAAGAAATAAAAGACCCACGGCATCACGGTATAAAGACATGCGAATTTCCATCGATTGTAATGAGATTCAATGTAAATCAAATGCGATTGTGTTATTGCTGCGTGTTTGTACTGTACTACGAGGGCTGCACATACTTTCGCCTTTAGTCAGTTTTAAAATGTGTGTGCAATATAAGACACGACGATTTTCCAATATGTTTTCGTTTTCTTTTTTATTCATTTTTCACGCAATGCACAGGTGATAACCATTTTTTCGGCATCAAATTATTATGAGATTGGATCGAATAAAGGCGCCTATCTGAAATTAAATCCCCAGCTTGATACACATTTCGTACAATATACGGCGGCAGCATCAAAGACGCGAAAATTAACGTTTCGCCAAAAAGTTGGTTTGGTCGAAAGTTCGGCAATTCGAGAGTTGGGCGCCAAATTGCGTAATGTACGAAATGAACTTGAGCGTGAATTCAAGGCACGTGATCCAGACTTAAAAGGTATGAATCGCATCAACCGATTTGTAATTTTTTTTATTTCATTCTTTTGTTCTTTCGTTGGGCGGTTTTTTCTTCTTCGCTCGATTTTTTTTTATGTGTTGGCTCGGTAGTTTCACACTTACAATTCGTTTTTTTTTCCTAAATGACAGGAATTTTAACAATGTCGCGTTGGTGTGAAGCAATGGAATCAGCGACACACTTGGGCCTACCGTGGCGTTTGTTGCGAGAAAAATTAGCGCCATCAAAACCAGGCTTTCCACCTCTCGATGTTCATTATAATTTAACATTGGAATTGCTTGACACAGATCTAATCGTAAGTTTTCTTTTGTCTCTTGTTATTTGTTTCCCCTATCGATTTATTCTTGATTGAATAAGCTCAATAGATATAGAAAAAAAGAGCTTTTTATCGATGTATCTCATGTTTACACTTAACGATTGGCACGTCTCATCGAACTGTGCAACAGCTTGACATAGTTTTTTGTTCACCCATCTATTGAATTCTATTCATTATCTATATGTAGAAAACTGCACATGCTGGCTCAACAAGTGTTGCTGATTCATTGTATAGGAATAAGAGCAGTTTGGAAGTCATTTTCCGAATATTGGATAAAGATAATTCAGGTATGCACCAAAATATACGAATATGATTCAACCACGTAATTTCCTCCATTAGGATTTTCTTGATGGTTTTAAATCGCTATGAAAACAAATCTAAGCGCGAAAAAAAGCGATAACATCATTGATATTGACACTTTCAATGGCTTTTGAATCAATCAGTTTTCTGCTGAAATGTGAATAGCACAACAAAAACGATTTTCCAAAACATTTTCTCTCTCTATCCGTTAAATTAGACATTTGATTTGCCATCGTCAACTCGATCAAAAGAATTTGGATAAAACACAATGTTCGAACAAACGAACAAACAAAATTGGATGGGATGGGGATTTTTTTGTGTTGAATTAGCATTCTTTTTATTTGCCGTTTATATTCTCGAAATTGAACGGCGGTGGTGACGGACGAGAGGGTAACGGTTTTGCGATGAAATATATGCGATGATTTGTGTGTGTGTTCTATCCATATCTATTTTCCAAATTATATCCAATCGATTAGGTTTCATCTCTTTGGATGAATTTGCTGAGGCATGTGATTTGTTGCAAAAACATCTACCTGAACATGATACGAAAGAGGAGCTTATGGAAATGTGCAAATTGATGGACATCAATAAAGACAGTTTAGTTGATTTAAACGAATTTCTCGAAACGTTTCGACTGTGCGAACAGGAGAGAGGCAACAGTTTTAAGAGTGAAGTTTTAGCCGTACATTTTGATCTTCCAAATGATACAGCAACAACAACAACGACGACGACCAAAAAACCCAAAAGCGAATCGATGGCTTCGGCGACGATGACGGATGATAAGAATGGCATTGCCAATGGTGAACCAGTGAACACGGGAACTGCAGAAAATTAATCTTTATATTACTCTCCATCTATCAGCACAAAAAAACCTTCTTCAAGGAACACCGCGCTTCATTTGTAAATTGATTACTTCTCGATATGCAGCATTTCCTTCAATATCGCACGAAATACATATATAAATGAACATTTGAAAAACGCCACAGTGAAAATATTTTCGCTTAAATAACTTTCATGCATTTGTATTTAAATAATAAAAAGAACTTCACTTCATTCAAAATGAAGATGAAAAATTAAACGTTCGTAAATAAAGACACTTGAGCAAAGAGAAACCGTAAGAATTAAAAATAATCCTAATCAAAATATTTGCAATCAAAGTGAATGAAACGAAAGAAAAACAAATCATTTAATATTGACATAGTGAGTTTTTGTCGTTTATAAGATCAAAGTGAAAATATGAAAATTTATGAAATGAAAAAAAAAAAACAAGAAGTGAATTTCAATTGAAGCTTTTTTTCGCCAACCGACTTTTGAGCGCGATTTATCATGATTTTCTGATTGACTTACCTAGCAACTTACTGATGGAATTGGAATAAATTTTGTCCATAATTACATATTATCCTATCCTTGGTGTATTTTGATTGAAAATACGATAAAAAATTATTGAAAAGAAAGATGTGAAGTTTATAAGCTCTGGAATTTAAATGGAGGAATTTTAATTATTGGTAGGCAATTTTTAAATAAAACTATAGGGATCTGCAAATGTCCATTATATATCTTGTGTAAAACCCCGATCCCGTCAAGAAATCCATAAAGCATCGAAGCTCTATTGATGGAAGCATTTGGCGCTGTTCTACAATGCGAAGATCTCGGAATATCTGCGATTTAATGATAAAAAAAAACATTAATTTCTGATTAAAAGAATACAAACGTTTTTCCGAACTTTTTCGAAAAAAAATTCTTCAAAACTAACGAATAGCTTTAATAAACCTGCTGACACAATGTCAAAATAAAAATGTCAAACCTTTAACACATGAAAAAAATGAAATTTATTAAAACGAAAGCTAGATTTTATTCGAACACTTTTTAATATTGAAAATTATGAACATTCTCGATGTAGTGTATTCAAATCACCACCCCTTTTCACCCACTTAGATAAATATATATGTAGAAATGAACGTTTGCAATGCAATTCAATTGTATGCATTGCAAATGTTTAATATGGACCAAAGACAAAAAACAAACACTATTTTTCCCTTTAAATGTTGAACATTATAATAACAAAACAAAATAAATTTATCTATTTTAAAATTGCACAATCTAAATATGTATTAAAGTCAAGAAAAAAAACTATGGAAATTAAAAATTGTGAACTGAGAATCGATCTCAATTCGAAATGAATAACCATTCTGATTAGAATGTATTATCATTTGCCACAAATTCGATATTATAATACAGAGCTGTAATTTTCACTTTGGCAGTGCGCGCACACAGTAGAACAAGAACTCACATTTCATGTGCGATGCACACAATGCTTGTGTTTTCAATGTGCATGCACATTTACCCAGAATTTTGACAATTTTGACGGTTGTCCAAAATTGTAAACTATCATTTGAAATGTCAAACTTTTGTGCAAATGTGCCAAACTTTTGTGCAGAGTGAAAATGACAGATCTGTTAAAATAAGATATGTCCATAGATATATCGCTGTTTCATTTAATATTGAATTTTAAAATGAGCAACAACATATTCCATACTACATGTTCCATGTGACAAAAAAACGTAGTCGAAAAAAGTTCATATGATACAACAACGTCATTTAATGAAGAAAAAAAAAGTATGTTACTGTCAGTTATTGTCATTTCATTTAAAATTTTAAGATGCAATTGCCGTGATATCTTTAGTGTTTAGTGTGTATTTCATTTTGGGATAAGTAATGTATAGTAATTTTTTAGCATGTGAATTTTATTTTCTTCATTGTTTTTTTTTTTCATTCAAGTTGTCAAATAAATCAATTTCGTTTTTATTCCATTCATTTTGGCACACATTCATAAATAATAACATATTGCATATTTCTATATTATTTGCATTTTAATATTACAAGGTTCTAATGTCAAACCATTACATAAAGACATGACGATTGTGTGCCAAATTTGAATATGTATTGAAAATGATGCGTTCGGTAAATAAATTTAAATTTGCTTTTACTTGGTATCAGCCAATTTTTCTGTTAAAACATTTCTATTGTAGAAAAAAAGACGATTCTTATTTATCGAACGATCATTTTTGCGCTTATAAATAAAAAATAATAATAAAAAACACAATATTTGGTTGGTATGATTGCTTTTTTTTTATTGTGAACTTAGGACACACTAGACAAGAAAAAAAATTCAATTCTTTACCTTTTCTATCTATTTTCTACCAATTTTAATATGTCAAATCCATTTCTGATTGCTTTGGTTTTGTATATGTTAATCGTTGTATATTTAATCATTCATCGGATTCATGATTGAACTAGTGAATCAATTGTTTGTCAAACGATATTCTCCATTTGAATTTGCCCTTTGAGTCAGTTATGGATGAGCTGATCTTTAATGTTAATTCTGTGTATCTGTGTATAATTCGGTGATCCTTAAACATTCTATCCGAATCGCAAGTGATCTAATCAAAGGCTATATTTTGCTGGCTACAAAGCACCTACGTATACACAGCATCCAAAAAGCCAAAAAAGGGTCATTCACAATGGACGATGAAACACTCGGAATATCCATGCACACATCACCAGACAACATGTTTGGATATAGTCATCTAGATATTTCAGCTCATATGGTGACGTCAGGCGCTGAAATGTAGTGAAAACAATAGAAGTGATTGTTATAGTAATGAGAGTGTTTTTGTACCTATAATAATGATTTCTATTGTTGTCGTTCCATTTCAGCGCCTGACGTCGGCCAGATAAGCTGAAATATCTGGATAACAATATCCAAATATATTGTCTGCACATCACGTTCAATGGTTTTCAGGCATCTAATCTGTTTTCTACAAAATTAAAAAGAAATAATTAAATAAAATCTAATTAATAGTTGCAATTCTTGTATGTTAAAGAAAGAAAACTCTAAAGTAAAATAACTTCCGCTCTCTCTTTCCATTAGACCAAAAATAATTATAAGCTGTTGATTGTGAACAAAAACTTAAACATAATTGCTTGTAGTTCAAATCTATCTCTCTGTCTTACACACACCTACACCTTTTATTCTCGACTTAAATTATAAAGGTTTCTGCTGTTGGACCTAAATCCAATCATAACACAACCCTTTTTAAACTAGTACAAACATTTTCAATTTTTATCAAATTTACTTACAAAACATTATACTAAAATTTAACAATTTATCTAAAAAAAGAACGTGTATAATGGCGAGATCGAGAAGGGACTCCATCAAATATCTGTTATTTATCCAGTATTTTGTCTAATTGCTACAGAAAAACAGTGACTGAAATCATCACGGTGACAGAAAATAGCAGCTGCTAATACCACGAATCGCTTCACTGTGTATCTGCTATTTTCAGTCATTGTGATGACTTCAGCCACTTATTACCAATATATGAAATTGTACAAAATGCATTAATCTTTTTGCACAATCCTAAATCAGAATATTCAATATTTTTATTGCCGGTGATTATTTTTCTCTTTCGATCTCACCAATAGCATGATTACTTAGTCCATTGTAAAATATATTGTATTTAAGAAGAAAAGAAAATCTAGCCGAAAAGTCAGAAAAGCTAATTTATTGTCCACATTTTTAGCGTTTGAGATTAACAAACAATTCAATAATTAAAATAATTTGATAAAAAAAAATGTTTATTCATCAAACTTAAGATTGCGTGCTTCTTAATTCCTGAAATTTCTTGTTGGACCTGGCCTAAAATCTGTATCTCATTTAAAACAAAATTAACTTAAAAAAAACCTCAAATGAAACATGCTTTTACATATTTATAAAGTACAATTTACATACAATCTTTAAAGTAGACATTTGTGCGCCGCCAAAAAGTAACACGAATGTGTAAATTACACAATATTAAATGAGAAAACAACACTAATAATAATGGAAAATTGTTGCGAAAAAGTTTTCCATTGCAACATATCTTATCGGTTTTTATTCAATTAATTCATAAAAAAACGTTTCAATCATCGTGAAAAGTTCTTGGCATGCCAACTAAATCATATTGTTTATCCAAGTTTTTTGTTCTTTCTTTGCCACTTTTCCATAATCTTTGTTTCTTAGGTGCGCATTTCGACAAAAAAACAGTACCTTGAACACAGAAATACTACGATCGAAATTATCTTTTATCATTTTCTTATGACTCCCGAAAACAAGTTCAAAAAATGTAAAAATTGGATCATCGAAAATTGAAGAAAAAACAAGGTCCAATTCAGCGTTGCGCAATTTCTTGAGGTGTACTTTCAAAACCCCAGCCAAACCCGTTCACTGTTCGTGATGCCCTTCTCACAATCTCGCATTTTCTTGTGTTTAATTATTCTTGCATGCAAAAAATCTCACGGAGACAGTATGCGAGAAAGAAAGATATCTATAGAAATACGTGTCTGCGAAATTCCAATATTGAACGCATAACTTTGTGATCGAAATTGGTATAAAACGTGAGTTTCCATTATCTTGCAAATAAACTAGTTAATCATAGGATAAAAGTAATTAGACCACTGTATTTTTACCATCTTTGCTGAAATATTTGATGTGTACAAAAAATCGCATCAATTTCCTTCCCTCTCCTCTCCGTTCGTGTCTTCTTTGACCCAATTCTATTTTTTTATTGTGCTAACGCACCTGCAGTAATTTCTAATACCATAAAGACGTGCTGAAATATGTTCAATTGGAATTTCGAATAGATGTAATGGTGTGCTTACAACTGATATGCATATAAACGTGCAAGTTTCAATTCAAAAATTTTACATTTATCGTACAAATATGTGTCACATGACGTTATGCGAATACATTTCATTTATTATTGTTGTTGTTGTTATTATTACTATGGACCAATGTATAGGCAATACTATAAATGCATATACAAATTTAAAAATAACAGAGAAAAAAGAGGAGAAAATATGTCGACAAGAATTTTAACAAAAAAAAGAGAACTACTGAATTTATCGCTCTTTTATTGAAAACAAATTACTTTTTATCCTGGAATTAGCATCAATCAAGTAATCAAATTATGAATCCCTATTTACTTTACCGCACATATGCTTCGAGATAAAGACGAATTACCATTCCAAGCAATCAAAAAATTACAATTTTTATATTAAAATGAAATGAATTTTTAGACAAAACAACTATTACGCTACATCAAAATAAAAGTGTGTTTAGGTAAAGGGATCACTAACTGTCATTTTCACAAATTCAATAAATAATCTGTAAAATGAAATAAATTTGTTGTTTCATTTCCACCGTCTTAAACAATGTATCATGTTTATTCTTTATTGTTTTATGACACCGTAAGTAATTGAATACTACATTGACTCTAAATATGTTTTTATAAGAAAATACGTTCAGCAACATCCAACATTTGACTGGAGTTATATTAAAAGGCCGCTCACCAATTCAGTGAAAAAAAAATATCAAAGTGAGATTTCACAAGTACAGAGCAAAAAATACCACATGTTCACTTAAAATATTGGAATGTTTACTTTTATCTAGAGTAAATTGAAAATTTCGGATGCCAGAACATTGTGATAATTGCTCACTTAACAACTCTCTACCCTGATCATCGATTGCTTTAAACTTTCATTGTGAAAAAATTCGGCCAAATCCGTTCATCTTCATGTTTATTCAGATACATCCATCTGAGTTCGAAATAGGAATTTAATGAAAAAATTGTCCATTTCAAGAAAGAAATTTTTTCGGTTGCACTGATAGTAGAATTACTCGTTTTTTTTTTTCAAAATTTCTATATGACTGTTGTTATAAGGTTTATTCAGGACACAAAATATTCTAGTTTTCAAAAGCTTTATTTGGCCATACGGAAAATGTAGAAAAGTTTTCAAATGGCGTGAAAACTTCGTCGAGCTTTTTTTTATTGAAAAGCTTTCTTTAAATGGTAACTTATTCAGCAGGCAGCTTTCAGTGAAAGAAAATGCTAAACGGATTGTAACGCATGGTCATGCGTTTCCCGCGTATGAGATGCTCCATCATAAAAGCTATTAAATAAAGTGGGGCGAAAATCGGTGCTCATCGCCTAGCTGTTGATACATGATGGATGACGCGCACACTGTTGCTTCTCATATTCATTACAGATGCTGCACACACAATCACACGCACAGTCTTGCAAACGCTAATAAATGAATGCGAGATACTGTTGCTTGCTGTTGGATGGAAGGCACACTTTATCAAAACACACAACTGTTTGCCGACCGTTCAGTATTCGTCGCGCGCTTGACTTAAACGGATGCACAAACGGTTCAATCGTTTGGTTGATCAAAAAAAAAAAATTCAAATCGTTTTAGTTGGATTCAAGTTTATCAAACTAAGACCGACAAAAATCAATCACATTCATCATATAAAATATAACCAAATCTTTGGCAGCGAAACCAAATTTAAAAGAAATTTAAAAATTAATTTTTGAGTGAGTTTCCATCTATTTTTTTAACGAATTGCTTGCAACAGTTGAGAAATGAGCCAAGATAAAAGTGTCAGAGTCTAAAATATTGAATGCATTTTGTTTGGTTTGTTGACCGAATGGATAGTTTGCTGTTTTGTTTGTTATTATTAAAGTTGTGGACTTAACAAAGAGATTTATAAGGGACTGTCAATTGTTTATTGCATTTGCGCAACGAAAAACGGAAAATAAATTAAAAGCTTGGAAACTTTAAATTGAATATCACGCGTGAAGGACGAAAGAGTTTCGCTCAGTTTGTTGTACACTGAGTCAGCATATTTAACCATTTGTCTCGAATCCTACAGGTACACATACACTCATATTCGTTGTTACTTTACTGTGTATTTTTCTTTTTCTCTCTTTACTTCGTTTCGATTGCATGTAGAACAATTGAAGTAGTCACAAAATGACATTAATTGCATACGTTTCACATATAAAATGGAACATTTAAAGTATTATGACCTGAGAGTTGTTTTGTTTTATACATCTTTCATACGATGCATCTTTCGAAGATAAACACAGTATTTTATTTATGTTGAACAATGCGACTTTTTGTTTATGTTTTGTTGATCTGAAAAATTATACGTTTTTTTTTGTGAAATTATTTGATAAACTGATTGATTGACAAAAAAAACAACAAAAAATTAGGTGATATTTAATGTGTTTGAAAGCAGGTTTTTGGGGCAGCATGCAAAAAAAAATCATTTTTATTTCTAGAAAAAAAATGTAAGACACATTTTGGTTTATCATCAGACGGGCTTCGTTCTTGATATGTCGTCCTTTCTCAATTCCATTGAAGTGCAAACATTGACAACAACTGAAAAGACATGAAAACATGATCAGAAGAAAAGAAAATGTGTTGTTGTATGTATTTTGTCGCAGCATCACGGTGTGTTTTCAGTGACTGGGCATAGAAACATTATTTAAGTGAAAAAAAAGTGATAGGGAGGTAATAATAAAAAATCAAGAGTCGTTCACACTCAACAAAAGCTGAAAAAAAAACTGTTTTATATACCCGTAATACAAAAATTACAAAAAAAAAAAAAAAAAATAGCTGTTCGTTTTCAAAGCAGCTGAAAGATAGAGCAAAAAAAATGGCTTGATTAGGGACACGCATTCACATACACAACCGAATAACTGAATGAAAGGAAGTGTAAAAGTGATGAAAGGCAAATGATGAACTGATCTAATGCACGACGACGATAAAGAAGAAGGGAACGAAGAAGGAGAAGAAAATACTGAAGCGACTGTGTTACTTTGCATAAAATTTTTCTATTATCTTGTTATTTGCATGTATCTAAGTGAGAATAATGTTGGGAAAAAACGAGTAAAATGGCAGTAATCAAACCATATGCAGAATATATGTGAAAAAATGCTCTTGCACTGATTTTTTTCTCTCTCAAATCACTTTCGCGCAGTTTTACTTGCATTATTGCAGCCGAGTTGCATGTGGAATTTTATTAAAATAAAAAATCTTGATGCTTGTTTAAGCATGTCAACGGTCCACTTAATGCTAATATTCATACATTTTCTAGTTCATTTTTGTTTATCATTTCATTCACGGAAAATATTTAAAAATGTGTGAACACTCTTTCCCCCTTTTATCACTTCTATTGATTGATGAAGCAAAAAAAAAATGAAATTTTGTTGGTCCAGCACAACAAGAAGAGATGTGCCTCATGTACAATTAACATTCGGGCTCACGTACGCGCTGAAAATGAGTGAAACCCATCAACATCATCTTGAGAGGCAACGATAGAATGAAAGAGAGATAGAGAGAAAGCGAAATGCACTTGATATGGAATGTGTATGAATATGTTGTGTTAAATATATTAAAGAAATTCACTGTACAATGTAGTGTAGTATCAAAAACGAAATTCTCCAAATATGAATTGATTCTAAGAGGGCTAAATATACAATAAACAAGAAATGTCAATTTCGATTTAATTGGACCGAAATTCGTACATTTTTTTTCTCTCTAATGACATTGCAATTCGTTTCCGTATTGGTTTTATTGTTGTGTGGGACAGAACATTCGTTTGTAATACGATGCGTAAACAGTGTGTTGCCAGAGTCAGTATTTCGATCTTTCGAAGAAACGAAAAATAATCAACACATAAGAATCTAATTTACTCCAGATATTTTTGGTCTACAATTCCAACAATTGGTCGAGTGTGTTACTGGTCATACGCCTGGCTTACAATGTGATTCTTATTAGGGCAAACACTTTAATTAGGTAACAAATCAATCTGTACGTTCATTTCCGATACACATTTTGACGCCTGCGACATTTGCTTACAATTTTTATTTGATAAAATATAATTGAGCATTCATACGGCTGTCACAAATCTGTCGATTTCATAGCACAGTTGAACGACAAATGAGATAATTTTTTTGTTATTTGTTATCACATTAAATAAACTAAAATTTGTACGCAACGGCCAGTTGTGGTCGCAGTGAATAGACCGATATAGCTGCTATAGATTTTATTATTCGATATGATTTTATTATGGCAAATAAATAAATAAAGTCGTAATTGACATTAAATCAAGAAATGAGACAGAGACAAAAGTAGGAAAATCAACAGATAGAAAAAGATATAGAATACACATCGGAAATAAAGAGAATCCTAAAAATGGAAATTATCAAAATAAATAAACCATTGAAGTCTATGTATATATGCGTTGGCACATAAATTTTCGCTAGGGGGAAACCGCGCTTTTGAATATTGCAAATAAAGAAGAGATTTTAACTTTTTTAGCGCATTTGAATAGATATAAGTACAAAATGTCAATTTTTAACAAATATGTGAGATATTGTGAGATATTGTGATCTAATAATTGTTCTGGAAGTGGGCTTTGGTGGATCCTCAGGATCATTAGACCGCTCCCAGTTCTGGAAGTGGGTTTTGGTGGATCCTCAGGATGGACCAGACTATGGTTTGACAATGCCCTGGCCCATCCTGAGGGTCCACTTCAAGAACTGGGAGCATTCTCATGATCCTGAGGACCCACCAAAGCCCACTTCCAGAATCTAGAATATGATTGAATACTTACAGATATTGTCAGATATGGTCGGATATTAAAATTTTTATGAGATTTTAAGAATAAAGTTAAATTTTGGTACATAAATACGCGCGGAATCCCCCTAGAATTTTCGTATCTTTATTATCAAATCAAATACTATATTCAAATGATTAGTTGACGCATAGCGGTGGGGGGAGTTGTGTACAGGAGAAGACTTGCGTAGATACAAATTGGCACTCTAAACGGTGATCGTTGAGCAATTGATGACGATGATAATTTAATATCTATTAGTTTGCAAAACACTTATTTTGTCGGATATCATTTATATGTGATGGTAGAATGGTGCATTCTCATGAACTCGTAAATCTCAGAATCTTATCTACATTTTTATATGTCCTTATTCATGATTGTAAATAAAGGTAACATTGAAAAAAGTGGAAAATTTGTCCGTCCGATCGAGAAAAATTCGTTCGGAGCAATTTCGGAAGTACCCCTTTTTTCGGACATGATTATTTTCATTCCACCTTTAGTTATGAAAGCTGTGTCTTCACTATTTTCATTTTTAATAACATAAAAAGCAAGCATAAAAACTTCAACCATTTGTAGGAAAAATAACATAAAATGCACTTGAGCTATCAAACCATCTTTTTACTCAAAGTCATGCATCGGATTTTGTTCAACCGCATGTTGTTAACGTTTACTACTGCGACTGCAGATATTCACAGCACACCGAAGAAGAAAAAAAAGAAATAAATATTGATTTTGTTGAAGTTTATAAATAAAATTTACCATTTCCTAACAATTGCCATTCGTATTGTTGGCTCATTCAACTTGAATATTATTATATATTTTCGATATTATGACGCATTAATTTCGATCTATCGAAATTTCCGTATCACATAAAGTGAAATCGAAATCAATGACATTCACGTTTATTTTTATTCATTTGAAGAGCAGATAACGAAAAAATTTATTTCACCTAAAACGTGTTATTGCTCTCTGTAAAGTCACTTGCGGCAAAAATAAAACGACGCCATAACATTTCTTTAAACAAAAGTTTTTTTGGAAAAATAACAAGTAATCGGATTTTCAACGCACCGCGAGAAACGAAATATAAAACATTGAAGACAAAAATCAATTTTTCGACTTTTGAATTTTCATGACATTGTGTGGCTGAGAATAAAGATGGAAGTTTTCGGTGGCGCACTTTCGAAATTGTTACCTTGTGATATAATGGTAAAAAGAGAGTTGCTGAATGGTGTGGTGCGTGGTATATAGAATTCGTTATTTTATTCTCCCCTTCATACAATCACTTGAATTTTTATATTCTCATCAAAAAAGGCTTGAGTATGGGTGCTAGTATGTTTATGGATGGTACGCACATCAACGAACTTATGTAAAGGGGGATTTTTGTGAATACCATCAAATCCTTCATCATAGAAGGCTTGACCGTTTTCTTATTTCCAAATAGCCTCTCCAAATGATAGGAAAAGTTTTATTTGAAAAGTTTGTGAATTTTGGTCCTTGAATGAATATGATAAATCACATAACAAACGCACAACTGTTGAACGCTTTATTTATTAAACCTAAATTTCGTAAATTTGATTTTTGAACTAAAATTGATCGACCAAAAATGGGACATTAACTATATTTGATTGTGCTATGAAAATCATGACAATATATATTCAAGACAGGACATCGGAGACACGTAAAAAATACAAAATCTCCCACTCTAACGTTCTCCCGGATGGGAATCATAACGAGTATAAAAAAAACACTCTGTAACATTTGGACTGTTCAACAAAGACTACGAATGATCCAACCATTTTGTTCACAATGTGAACTTTACATATTGGCAGCTCATAAAATGGCTTCTTTTTATTTCTTGGAAAACTTTTGGTTCCGTTTTTGCTGTTTTTAACATTAGTCGCAGATATTATTTTCTCATTGTTGATTGACTTGGTTCAAATCTGATTCACTTTTGCTTGGGGCTCTTTATTTTCCATTTGTTTTCTCTGTCACCTTGCACAAACATGTTTGTTTATTATGTCCACATTCCACAATTGAACTTTTGTAATTATGCGAATTACTTCAATAAAAAACAGTACCGTTCATGCATTCATGGCATTAGCAAAACAAAAGCAAAATTTCAAACAAATTTAAGCGAAGTGACAACAAAAATTTTACTAACTTTTTAATTTTTTAATTTTATAGGGATTCGGGCCAACGTTTTAATTGAAAGGACATCTTTTTAGGTGAGCTATTATATTTTTCCTTTTATTTTCCAATAAAACACGTTGAAGAGCGTGAAATGCATGCATGCATTTAAAACATTCACATACGAAGCCGCATGAATGATAATTATGCATACAATGTATTCCAAATCTGATGAAAAGATATTCTATTGAAATGGCTACCGTTATTAAACGATGCTAGAGATGTCATAGAAAGTAATTTTATGATTTGAAGAAGTAAGTTTATTTTTGTGTGTGAGTGTAATTGGTTGCATTCACATGAATTCTTATTACGGAAAATATTCACTTCAAATAAAAGAAAACTGTTGGCATTTCAGTTTTTATTGGCTTGTTTTATTGTTGTAGCATTTGATAAAACTGGAAACTGGACTTTGTGGACGCATTGTATTTTTTCGATTCGGATACAATAAAATTTTACATGAATGAGAAAAATAAGTGTCGGTCCCTTAAAAAGTAAAAAAAAAATGAAATAAAAAAGACACAAACAATGAAAAAACAAGAATATTCAATTTAAGGTTGTACGCAAACAAAAATTATAAATTAATTGGGATGCAAGGTAACCGAAAATGTAATACAAACTGGATTTCTTAAAAAACTGGACTGTCCGGAAGCTTCATAGAACATTTTGAAAGTGCTTCTGATTATTATTGTTGTGTCAAATAATGTGTCACCTTCTGGACTGCATATGTCGATTTTTGGTATATATATGTGTGTGTGTGTGTCTGGAGCACGGATGCCAACCTATTATAAAGAGTGTTACGTAATTCAGCACCATGAAACAAGGCCGATGATGAAGGGTTTCCATAGCATTATCACGTGAAAAATGCCACGTGAAATACACAATACGTTATTGTTTGAATGATGTTTACCCTGAACGGGCATATTTTCATAAACAAATGAAAAGCCAATGGGATTCGAGAACAGAGCAACGTAATATATTACAAAAAAAATGTATGACAAGCGAAAACCAACTAGCAATCATAGTGATAGAGGTAGCAATCATATACAAAAGAGAAAAAAACGCACACATGCACACGCTGAGACAGTGTAGCAAATAAAACACCGTATAATATTTCAGACATTTTATTGCTTGGTGTAGAGCCAGAGGGAAGGCAGGGAAAGCCAAAAAGTGAAAAAAAATAAAAATAAAATGCTGTTGAAAAGTTACGAAGTAGAATGGTACTCATTGTTGTTTTGCAACGAATATATTGTTTGGCTCATTCGGGATAGTATGCAATGAAGTGGATCACAGTGAAAGCAAACTCCTTTCCATAAAGAAAAACAAAATTGAAGCAAACGAGCGATATAAGAAAAAAAAGTCAAGCGAACGCGAATTGAGATTGCTAGTTCAACATTTGCGATGTCACAACAAAGTATGATCATAGCAGTGAGCTTCGTAATCGAGCTGTAAAAAAAAGAGGCGACAGCGAACGAACGAAACACATAGTCTTTCAAATCGTACAAAAGAACATACACCCGGTATGTTACTACAAAAATTGAACTCATGCATTGCTTGATGCTGTATAGTTTTATGGCGGTACCATGTAATTCTTTAACTGTTTTTCTTTTTGTTTTACGTTTCGTTGAACACACGCATCGTGTATGCTCATTCCGCTGAGAGATACTGTATCTTATCCAGTCTGAGCAATAGTAGGAAAATGTATGAAAAAAAAGAACTCTATTGACAACAGCAACCGTTTCAATATTGTAAATTGTGTGTCTGTATTTTGACAGTGCACAGCTACTTTTGGTCTACGATGAAGCGAATTATTTTTTTTTCGTTGAATATTTGCATTTTACATGTATAAAATCGCATTTAAAGCAAACAACGTTCAAAAATTGTATTTATGTTGTGAAGGAGAAAAGCAAAATATGTACTGTTCTTTTTTCCTTTTACTTTTCGCTCTCCATAAAACGGTTATGATCCGCTATTACCGAGCAGTTAACAATTTCTTTTCAATAAAATTCCAACATAAAATTCTAGTAGCAATAAAAATTCAATAAATTTCAACTAATGATTTTCCTTTGTTATACTTCGGCTATTTATTATTTGGCTTCGAAAAGTCGAACTAACTCTTTTTCGTGACACAACCAAATCACATTGTTGAACAAAGAAAAGCTCACAATTGAACAATTCACCAAAGGTTCAAAGGAATTTTAAACAAAAAAAGAACCACTCACAGGTTTAGTCCATTCACCGCAGCACTTATTTATCTTTCACTTGTCGGCCATGCCAAATAAAACCGCAACGACAAAAAAAGAATCCTCGGAGACAGAGCCAAACAAATAGCCACGGAAAGACGGAGATGGAAACGGAAGAGGGCGAAAGAGAATGAGAGAGAGTGATGAAGAAAATAAAAATGTTGAAATGAAAACGGGCATACGCAGAGAGTGAGATACAAGTTTATAGCAATCAGAAGTGTGTTCATTTTGTTCAGACAATTTAAAACATTTTCAAAGTTTTGATATTGTTTGTGTGTCTGTGTGCGTGTTTGAGTGCACACTGCACATTTGTTCGAATGTCGGTATGTCGTCATTCACCGTAATAATTGTGCACGAATCGTCTAACTCCCTATCTGAATATCCCCTTACCGACTCCCACCAAATTCCGATTCTTAATCTTTCCGTTGTGCTAGCTCATTTTGTTCTGTTTAACGACCAGTTATTTGATGTTTATATTAAGGCATTTTGTTTGTTTTTGGGGAGCAACAAAGCAAGAAAGAGAGAAAACTCCTTCAGTTCATATATTTTTCTTATTGTTGTTGTTGTTTTTTTCTTGTCTTGATAACTTTCACGCTCCTGAAGAATTGAACATAGTAACAGAATTAATAGTAGTACTATGGTTTCTCAGCATAGAATAAAAAATACTTTGTACAACCTAATTTTCGAATCAATCTTTGCTCTTGATTTTCACAGTTTCTCAGATATTCACCTCGCTTTCTTTCTTTATTTATCTTTCGTCCGTTCTTTTTTCACTTTTTCCTTCTTCTTCAAAGAATCAAAAAATAAAGTAAGTTGAAAAAAAGAAGAGAACAGAATAAAAAAAAGACACGAAAGAAATAAAATGAAATTTCAACAATTTAAGTAAGTCGAAAAATATGAACTGCTGTTTCGTTCTATGTGCAAACATATACAAACACTTTATTAAGCACATTTCATCCCCCACTGTGCAAGATATAATTGAGAACAGCGATAGCGACAGCAATACCAACAGCGACAATATCAAAACAAAGCAAAAACTTCCAACGCTCATATGAGTTGCGATTTCTTTTCAATCACAGTATCTTGCGAATGGTGGATTCGATTTAGTACATGGGGGGTGGCTATAGTATACTTAAGTTCGATTAGTATTATACTTAACAACATCTTAAGTAAGAATATGTCATATGGGTTTGGCAATGTTTAATCGACGATGTGCCACACAATGAAATAGTTTATAGAATAAAAAAAATATATGCCAAACTTTGAATGAATATGCATTATATTGATATACTTAAAATGTGCTTAAGTATGTTATTAATCGAACCAAAGTGGGAGCCCACGTAGTTATAACTGCAGAGAAAAAGACTCAGCATGACATGATGTGCGCTTGCGATATTGAAAATGCAATAATTCATCTCTGATTTTGTGGTTGGGATTTTTCACTCAATGATTACACATTGAACATCCTGCAGACAAATCAGTGTGGAAAATCTCACCCGTTCAATGTTGAATGGAAAAATCAACAATGAAAATCATATTTTATTTAATGCAATGTTGGTAGATCGTAATTCATATTTGGTATACGTATATGAAGAAAATTATGCGGTTGATTGCTACACGACAATGACAACAACGTAATTTCCTTTATTATTTTTAGTCAGACAAAAAGAGACCCTTGTCTTTTATGTTATTTTATAGTTTATAATTAATTACGCCCGAAATTTATCTAGATATTTGAATTTGTTTCCAAATTTATGATACAATTTATAAATTCTATATGAAATTCCAAAAATAGCATACATTTGCTAAATTGTGTCATTTTTGCAAAGTGATATAACACGAAGAAAAAAAAGACACGAAGTAATGAACAAATGGACTAAAATTATGTTTAGTGATTGTGACAACATATAAATCATGTTTATTGTCATTAGATTTTTTGTATGGCATGCGTGTTTGTGATGTGAATGTGGTGTATACTATCTGCTATGATTCATCCACGAAAATATGGATACATTTTCAATTGCCATTCATATCGATCTAGTAAATCATCAATCTACGCCATCTCAAGATTCAAGCAATGCGAATTTTGAACGCAACCTGCGCAATTGATTTTACGCTCTTTGCATTTGTTACATTTTTTTTCTTGTTACATCTCAGACATTATAATAAGATATTTTCAGCCAGATGAATCAGCTCAGCCAGATATCGTCACACACCATTGCTGCAAAGACACTTAGTTATTAGCGCCATCTAGTTCGTGCGAGAAAAAATCTTCACATTTCACACACGTACTATTGAGTTACTTCACTATGCAATACAGTGAGGGCGCCAGTGATACGTGTTTTGCAGCAACCCAGTGTATCGTCAGGAGCTGAAATGGAGTGAAAACAATAAAAGTGATTGTTATAGTGATTGTAGCAATGTAAGTGTAATTATAACCATAACAATCACTCCTATTGTTTGCACTAAATTTCAGCTCCTGACGATATCTGACTGAACTGATTCATCTGGCTGAAAATATCTCATTATAATGTCTGTTACATCTTCAGCACCTTTCAACCAAATTTCGAAATGCGATGAATATGATTTATTTGGGGGTTGTGTTATTTTATGCTTTTGTGTGCAAATAAACATGAGTATTGAATGCCATTACGTACATGTGATGGTTGTTGTTGCGTTTTTTTATCCACGTAAATCCTTTGGTTTCATTCCGGTTATATAACAAAGGTTTTCATATTACCCCGAGAAGTTTTCGGTGAGAACGCACACAGAATAAAGATGAATCTTAAGATACACCG